ATATATAGTTCCATATTATAACAAATAACTTCATTTCTGGACATTTATGGTTTGATTTCTTTGTATGCATGGATCACTTGGGTTGTTACCAACATCTGGTAAAAATTTCATGTCATTAGCACCTCTAGTAATATATTTACTGAGAAAAATGGTGATGTGTTCAATACTTATTTTACCCGCTGTATGTAAGCTCAGCTACAGATCCTCCTGGCCAGAAACAAGACTYCTGCCTGCAGAATATATGGTTTGATGAGTGGAAGGTAGGGTTGAGAAGCAGATGTCCTCTGCTGAGGTTCTCAGGAGTTGAACACACGCTGCTACATCTCCCACGTGACCTGCGTGATTCTTCACCACAGCTTCTCTCCATCAGCTGGTAGATGATGATTGTCAAAAACTAGCTGCATAGCATAAAGATAAAATGTCACACTATGCAAAGCAAGAGCTGAAAAATACTAATACACAGGCTTGTCATGTTGCTGAAATCCTAAAATGGTTCTGAATTCCGGTCCTCGTGACCCACTATGAAGCTTCGGTGTTATGTTAGCTTGATAGCTATTCGTAACTTATAGAAAGAGTGCAACGTAATTTACATGTAACGTTATGACAAAAGGAGCACTTGTGTAGATAAAGTATAGGCAAGGCATGATAGTTAAAAATACATTGTTGATGGTTTGTTCTTACCTGTGACGGCAGCTTAGCTCTGAGCTCTATGTGTTACGGTGTGGCTCATGTCCTGTTTACAAGCATGCGCGCTCCTGACTCTGGGCCCTGCTGTGGGGGAGGAGCTTAGGAAGGGGAGCTGAGAGCAGGGGTGAGGGACTAGAAGGTTGTATCTGTTCAAAAAAWTTTCTAAGTTTTTGGGTTTTCAAGAAACTACATATAGCAGCTTTAAGTCATCAAAAAGAATTGCGCGGTTGGCCGGTAGACTACAGTTCTCTATCATAGGAAAAAATTTATATCGTTTCTACCGTATATTGTTTATATCGCGCATTCCTACACTACACCCATTGTACTRTAATCCTTAGATGGCCTTTTCAATTGATCCTTGTAGCCAAACAGTAAAGAACTGAATATTTGGTTCAGTGACTCACTGGCTACTTTTACATGGACATAAGTAATCAGGTTAAAYGGCATAAACTTTTTCAGCTATGTTGCTAAACTTACATTTAAAAACAAATTATTTGGTCACTGAAAAGTTTCCAAACTCCACCTTCTTCATTTTCTTGTTTAGTTTGCTGACAGCGCAATGAATCCTGGGATATTGTCAGCTGCGTAGAATAGTCAGGTGCAGCCTATGTTTTCAGGGTATTGTGGCCCTTGTTTTTCAGACGTATGAGAAGGAGCCTAAAAAGTGTGCACTACATGGGTACAGCCCATGAACTGAGACAGACTTTGAGTCAAGATTGGGAGACATCATGCAATCTATTAGTAATCAAAACTCATGTTGTGAATGATTCGCAGCTACTACCATATCAAATTCAGGCTCAACATCTTTAAAATTGATTGATTGAGTCATTATGTCGTACAGAAAGAGCGCCGCCTGCTGGAGAATCTGCGGCTGGATCTGGATGCTTGTAAAGCTCGTCTGAAGAAAGCTAAGATGGCCGAGGCTAAAGCTACGGTGAGTCCTTTAGCGCGTCCCTACAGCCTTTCTTTGAAGTAATCTAATAATTAATGTTTGTCTGCTGGCATTAACCATCACTAACTGTCTGTATATCAACAACCTTTGCAGTACGAGGGTGAAGTAAGTATTAAAAACTATTTTACATTATGATCTTCTCTTGGGTTGTKTTTTCAGTCCACCTGACTTAATTCAAATGTTTTGTGATGTGTTGGTGTTCTTAAAGCCAAATACAATAAATAACTATTTTAATAATGTGGACTGAAAAAACCCTCTGCAACCTCAGTTTGACTCTTTAAATAGAGAGTTTGCTTTTAACAGAAGTCATTGACCAAACTGCAACATGCTGGTCTGTGATTGACAACTTATAAAAACTCTGCTAAAGTCTATTTTTGTTTGTCATCTTTTTTCTTTTGTATTTTGTTTAGCAAAATATTTATTTTTCATTTTCTATGACCTTCAGCCATAGAAAAGTATCTTTATCTTCTGACCTTCAGAGAAGCTKAACACCTGAGGTAAACTCGGTGGAAACAAAGCAGCTGCTCAAAACTACTTCTTTTCCCCCCGCATAGGTCTGATTATTCCACTGAATCTGTTGCAGACTGTTGTCTTCCGTAATTTCCCTTTGGGATCAATAAAGTATCATTGATTGATTCATTCATTCATTCAAAATGTAGGATTTTATAGATTTGATTAAAGGATTTGTAAAATATTTTAATCTGCATTTGAGAACTTCATCAAAAACATTTTTGAAATCACACAAAAATATCAAACGTCTGTTAAAAAAGATTTACAGTGTAGCTAAAAGCGTGTAATCTACAGTTTAATCTTGGGCTATTTATATTTTTTTACTGTCCCCTCTAAAAGTATCAGTACAGTGAGGACTACTCCTTTACTTCTGCTCTAGACTGAAAACATTTGGGTCTAAAATCCATCAATCCCTCCTGAATAAACGTTCTACAATTAGACATTCTGTTGTTATTAAAGGAGGGCATTGTGTATTTTACAGGCACATACCTCAGTTCTATACCACAATCGAAGTAACTATGTTTCCTTCAGTTGATATGGAAATGCTGTAAATATCAAAAATAAATTTGACTTTGCATCATTGCCTGTCTAAACCAGGGTTCCTTTAGATCACGTGTCAAACTCAAGGCATCTGGGCCCACGGGTCACTCCCATGCCCCCCC